CTTTGATTAAAATCGGTTGACGACGTAATGTAGTAGTATAAACCATAGACTTAGAATATACTCGCTAGTATATTTTAAGTCTATATATATAAACTTATTCGAGAACGTTTGAGCAATCTTTGAAAGGGTAAAAAATATGTACTATACGTAGGAGGAGGAACTATTATATACTATTATATTATATACCTACTAGAGGAACTATTCCAAACAAAACGGGAGATAGTAGAGTCGCGCATACGCGAATACTTTAATATTAAATAAGATATTAATACAAAATAATATATATATATAAGAATTTAATATAAAATACTCTTATTTTAATCTAAACAAACATATTTCTAAATAAAATGTAATAATAATTATCTTATGGAATTCACAAATCTTCAATTTACACAATATTTAGTTTAGTGTACGGATTACAGTACAGTTCAGTTGAACATAGTCAATGTTCGGAATGCTAAATCTAATGCGTAGTACATATATACCGATGGTAAAAATAGATCAACGCACGTCGCCATTGGTGTTCTCATTACATTCTGCTATGTTACGCGCAGCAGATTTTATTTTTTAATATTAACAAGAATATACCGTTATTTTGACCGATCTAAAAATAAAGGAATAGATTTCCAAATCAGTGTCACCAAATGTGTTAACGTTTTGTGTAAATGGTAGGTATTCATTGCTTAAAATAATAATTCTAAAAATAATGTGTCTCTTAAATACCCACCAGCTTTCTTTTTCAATTTAGGGCGAAAATCGATTTAACATACTTATAAAACAATTCAATTATTAAATCACATAAATTAGGAAATTAAAAACTTACTCAGGTATTAATTATTTTATACAAATCACATCTCTATATATAAAAATCCATTGCTGTCTGCTAGTCTCGCTAAACTCGAAAACGGCTCGAACGATTTTGATGAATTTTTTTGTGCGCTTTTGATCCCTAGACGGCTTAGATTCACAATTGGACCCGGTAGATAACGCTGTTGTTGAGACCCAGAAATCACCCGTATAAAGCCAGGGCTGATCGCTAGTATCTATTTTTTTTTGTTTTTAAGTAAATATTTTGTTACCGTTGAAAATTTGAACATAAACATTTGCGACTATTTTTGTGACCAGATCTGCTGTTGCTGCTGCTATTTTAGATTTCTTTAAAAATATTTCATATGATTGTGTCCATAAAATCAATTAAACAATCAAACAACAATTACTTTCCAAAGTTAGTTTCATTTTATTTAAAACCTGAAACAGTGATCTGAAACAGGGTTAGAATTTACGCCTCGCATATAGTCTCGAAAATGTCGTATCGACATAAATACGGAAGTACTTATGGCATCTGCGTGTTATGCTCGTGGCCCTATGATCCTTACTATAACGTATATCTTTAATTATCAAGTGTATAAAAAACACCTTAAAAAAGAAAATATCTGTTCAACAAATAACGCACATAGATTTTTTGAACGACAATTTTACACAATGCATTCAAGTTTATTCATTTCCACAAAAGAACTTTCTTCCGAATAATCTGTTCAGCAATGTTGGACATCTCACAGCTCATACGCGTCTGTTGTAAGCGAAACTGACGCGTGGTGGTAAACAATCAAGTGCATCGAACACACAAAACGCTTTAAAAACAAGTCAAGATGCAAGGATGTCGCAGATACGTGGTAGAACCATGCTATGGCTATATTAATACTTAATAATATAGTTGTAGCACAAATGGGTCGGCTCGGCCGGGGAAGGACCACGCTCTCACAGAATACCAGCGTAAAATAGCAGCGTAGAGTAGAGAACCGGAGACCTTTTTTACTGGAAAATAGGCATTCCATCTTAGTCCTCACGGCTGAGGACGCATTTGCATTTTATACGCAAACGAAGATAGATGTAGATATCTATGGACCACAGCAACCACTTACCATCAGGTGGACCGTTTGTTCGCTTGTCACTCTTATTCTAAAAAAAATACTGTAACTGTAACAACAGTTATAATTTGTTTTTATTAGAGTGACAAACGAGCATAATTATAGTCCAGATAGTAAGCGGATGCTGTGGCCCATAGACATCTACATTTATCCTCGACTACCAACTATTAAAATATATAGAGTAGAGCCATGCTCATACGTGGTAGAGGCATGCTGCAGCTATATTAATAGTATAGTAGTAGCACGAATGGGTCGGCTTGACCGGGGATGGACCACGCTTTCACAGAATACCAGCGTAAAATAGCAGCATAACGCTGCTGTGTATCGTATGGTGAGTGTAGAGACCGGAGACCCTTTTTACTGGAAATAAGGCATTCCATCTTAATCCTCACGGGTGACAACGCATCTGCATTTTGATTTGTAACAGAGGATAGATGTAGATGTCTATGGCCCGCAGCAACCACTTACCATCAGGTGGACTGTGTGATCGTTTGTCACCCTTATCCTATAAAACAAAAAAAATAAAGATGTGTTGGCAGGTCATCACTCATGAGAACTATGATAAATTGCCTCGTTTCCAGTAAAACCGAATCTCTACAATAGTCACACGAAACACAGCAGCGTTAAGTTGCTGTTTTACTGTTATTCTTTTTATTTGCACATATCCTAGACCGTGATCTTCGTGGCTTTCCCTTCCTGAATTTAAACCAATTTAATTTAATTTATTGATTATTCTAAAGTAACAATTTTTTTGAAGTTGATGACAAAATGCGTCACAAATCCAAGTTATATATCCATAGATAGTATATAAACATAATAATAAATATTTAATTACAGATGCCATATTGTGTGCTGCGGGTTGTTTAACTTTATCAAAGTAATTACAAGGAAATGGAAATTATTCTGGTCGAAAAACATCTGACAACGAACTGACCGCAAAAAACGTACTTATCAACAAGAAACTAAATATTTAAAGGCTCTATTCACAATGAAAATTTACGTCAGCAACTTTTGAAAAAGCCAACGAGGCCATTGGATCATAGGCAATACCCGAAATATTGGTTTTCATTGTTTGAATATAGATCTGGTTTTGGTATAGGTAGGTAAATTACCTACTTAATAACTTATACACGGGTGGAAAAGTAAAAGTTACAGTTGACATCTTACAGTTAGAACCAATGTAAATAATAATTCTAGAGATATGTTTATAGAAATAATGTTTAATTATAGAAACATGGAAAAACCAGATCAATGAAAAAAATTTTGATTTCTGCGATTCGAATTTTCCCGCTCAATTCTTTTTTATTTGCGACTAGCTGTTCCCCGCGACTTCGTTCGCGTGTTAGGGTTTTTATGTTTCTGCGCGGAACCCTGATTCTTTTTCTAAAATATAATTTAAAATTAAAAATTTTGTACAGCCGACTTCAATATAAGTTATTTAAGAATAACTTAAAAACTATTGGTCTGACCTTGATCAAATTCATATGGGACCACACGAGAAGTACCAGCTTTCAAATAAAAAAACACATAAAAAAACCAAAAAAAAAACGAAAAAAAAAAAACACAGTCGAATTGAGTACCGGCTCCTTTTTGGAAGTCGGCAGAAAAGTAGCCTATGTTACTCCTTATGAAATCAGCTATCTGCCAGTCCCGTCAAAATCGGTCCAGCCGTTTCGGAGATTACCCGGAACAAACAGACAGACAGACAGACAAAAATTTTTATTTACTTTCATATGCATTTAGTAAAAAACTGTAATTTTGACATTACAAACAGACACTTCAATTTTATTTATTTGTATAGATAATGATAGATGGCGCTGAATTTTGTTCCCAACCATTTTATATGGAGTTAACATTCTTCTCCGCTAGGAGTAAAAGAATTATGTGGTTAGAACCACAGAGTACTTTTTATATACATGGAAGTTATAACATATCTATCATTGAGTTATATATACACTACGTACTAGAGAAGCCATTCCAAACAAAGATTGTGTCCTACTCTATGTCTTCGCGCATGCGCGGGAGACCGGGATTAGTAGTCGCGCAAGTGCGAAGACTTTAATTTAATATAAAATAAATATAAGAATTTAATATAAAATATCTTAATTTAATCTAAACAAACATATTTCTAAATAAAATATTATAATAATTATTTTATGGAATTCACAAACCTTCAATTTACGCAATATTTAGTTTGTATGGATTGCACTACAGTACAGTTGAACATAGTCAATGTTCGGAATGGCTTCTCTAGTACGTAGTACATATAACTCAATGATATCTACACGGTGACACCAATAATGCGTGAACAATGTTATTTTTCAAATCTATAAAACCAAAATCAATGAAAAAGGGCGAAATTGGTATGGCGATAATAAGTATAGCGAAGTTCGTTGGTTCATTTTTTCAAAAAGTCAAAATTTTTCACGAAATATTGAGTCATCATAAACCATTGAGACATATTACTTCGAAGCCATAAACCTATCCATTTTAGGTAGATTGTCTGATTGACCCTTCTCAAAGCCATCTTCTAATTTTAATAAATACTAATACTATCTTACATATAACAATACTATTTAAGGCACCTGTCACAATGTTTCACCACGCCATGGGTTGACTGGCAGAAAATGTCAACTGGCATTAAGCACTTTGTAACCTAAAGGTTAAACAATAAAGTTTTGAAATAAATAAATAATATCTGTGGGCGTCCAAAATACTGCAACCTTTCAAAGCAAAGCTAATCATTTGTTAACCGACTTTAATAAAGGGATATTCGAGGCGTATGTTATATTGTTTTATGTATTTTCACCGATTTCTTGGAAATGGCAGAACTCTCATTCCAAGGTTAAATCCCTATTTAGTCAAATAGCTATATAATTATTCAAACACATAAAAAGTTATTAAAATTACTTCTCAAATGCTAAAACGGAAAAATTGTTAATTAATTTATAACATATTTTATCTTTATGAACACCTAATACAAATACATATTTTTTTTACTTATTAATATTAACAGTTGATTATGGCATTGATTTTTTTTTAAATATATTTGACATGTTTTACAGATTAACCATGACCAGATACAAACAGCCGAAAAAGTTGGAGAATCTGGCGTTAATTAGACTCGGTGATTGGATAGCATTTCAAGCAGAAACACAAATGGCGTCTGCAGCGAAGCTTGCTCACGAAAGTATTAGTAAAGCCCAAGTTGTTCTAGTGCATAACATCGATGTTATTCGTTTTTATTTAGATATCAATGTTCCATGGATGCTCTACGACTCATTAGCAGTTGAAACAATTAGGGCGTTATCAAACTTATTAGAAAAAACTAAAAACTCATTGGGGTTTAGAGGTTCTATGGGAAAATTTGTCACACAAATGAACGTCATAGTAAAAATGTCTGAGGTACTTTTTACCAAAAATTTAACATACCTGTCTATAGATAAAATTCCAAAAATGATTCGGTCAGTTTTTTATTCTAAATTACATATGCTTACAGGACTCGTGTACTTAAATTTAGGTTCACTTTCAGGGGGATGGAAAACTGCAGATATGGAAGGTGCTATTATCGAATCACTAAAGGAATTACATTGTCTTAAATATCTTTCTATTAACTATGACTGCACTGATAACATTTTGATATGCATTGTAAAAAATTGCCCCCTTATCGAGAAACTAGACGTCTCATCTTCAAAATGTATATCGAATGAGAGCATTGATATAATTTGTAATCTGAGGAAATTGAGAAGCGTTCAGCTCTATAGGACATCAATTACTTGGTCTGGCTTTGCAAATTTACTTCTGAACTGCGATAATTTGGAAGACGTAGGTAGATGTGACGAAATTGGAAGAGTTTTAGAATTTATACGTAAGATGGAAATAGGACTTAAGCAACTTAAGCTAAAAACATACGTGAGTCGTTACGCAACAGACAACCACTTACAATTGGCTGTTCAAATGTGTCCCTTTATTCGTAGCATGACAGTTTTTCATAATACTTTGCAAAGCGATCTAATGGTATTAATAGGCTTAGAACACCTCTGTGATCTAAAATTACTCTCGTGTGACTTTTATGCGGATCAAATTAAACAAGTACTTCAAGTAAAGGGGTGTAATATTATAAATTTACATCTTGAGCACGTCGATCAAATTGATTTGAATGCTTTAATGTACATTAGTCAGATGTGTCCACTACTTGAAAATTTAACGCTTTATAATTGTACTCTGATACAACACACTTCCCTGTATACAAGAAAGTTGGAAATACTACCTTTCAGAAATTTAAAAAGATTAACTTGTGTAAGTACATGTACAGATGAACAATTGCTATTTTTACTGACGAATTGTTTAAATGTCGAATTTATTCATATTGGTACAGCTGTACAATTTACTGACGATTTCATGTTTAAAATATTAGACAAAAATCCACTAATACACTTAAGGGAATTACGTATTATGCAATCAGATTTCATGACTGTGACTTCTGTGGAAAGAATAATACAAAGTTGTATGAATCTAGAAATATTAGTAGAGCTAGAAAGTTGGACTCTATTAACGGATACTGATCGCGAGTTTATAAGGAATTTTATTAAAATTAACAATTTTAATGTTGATACTAGCCCTATAAGAAGATACGATGCATGAAATGGAATAAATTTTTGAAATAAATAGATAATAAAATGATGGAAACTTAAATAAAACTAAGATTTATTTTGTTATGTTTTAAATGTCTATCTTTTGTCTTGTTTTCAAAAATATGTCATGTAGTGTCCGACCAAAGCTTCGACTTCGGCTTCGGCCACCTTTGGCAAAAAAACAACCCTCAGACTTCGGTCAAAATGGGCCGAAATTTTGTCAGAATTTGATTTCTAGCAAGTAGAGATGTTATGACGGCTTAAAACATTCAACAAATTAAGCATAGGTGCTTAATTTGTTTTCGTTAGCAACTTATAATAACTGCTTAATTGCTTATACTTAATCCTTTTTTCGTTTTATAATTGGTAAAAAAGTAAGTTAAGAAAAATCTTATTTATATATAAATACAATGTTTTGTGCTGTGTTCTGTTAGTTTACTTCACTATATTATATATAAATTTCAACCAACTTTCCTTCGTACTTAACACAGGCTTAGGACTGTCTGAATATAATTTTTTTTTTATTTCGGGGTCGGTAGTCTAATGTTATATTAATATCTTCCTAGGTGGTGCTCTTTTAAAAATTCAAAACACAGGCGAACCCGATTATTTTAGGAATAAGCAGTTAACGATATTTTAAATGAAATTTGTTCAGACACCCATCTCTACTTTAAAATTATTTCTTTTATCTTAGGTTTTTGTAAGTCGATCTTCGATCGGACACTAATGTCATGGAACCCCCCCCCCCCCCAACCCCGTCAATTTATCATTTGCAATTACAAACTTATAGTTTCTTTCTGTTGCGGTACATATTAATAGAGTAGGTAATACATGCCGTAGAAACAAGAAAATTTTAGATATTTAATGTCAGTATTTTAAAAGTTACATAGGGGCGGTGCTGAATGCGTTTGGCTGGCATGATCACATTTGGTTGTATTATTCTCAAAAAGTACAGTTAGATTGAAAAAGAAAGCGGCACAAATACTCCTAGAGCTGAGTAAATTGAATTATTGCACACCTCAAATGCTGATTCAGGGTGGCCAGGCCAGGCAAACGAACGTGTTGAAGGTGGTGACTAGTTCAACAAACTGACAATTTCTTAAGTAAAGGTTAATATTTACTTAATTATATATTAGGTACAGCCTCTAAAAACTTCAATGCATGGGCCTCCACCATAGATTGCATCATAGGGGTACATTTGCCACGCTTGTCAAGAAGGTTATCGCATTCCTTTATTATTATTAAGTTGTCATGAGGATGATGCTGCTGCCTATCTCCTGTTTCAGTTTCGGATGCCGTCTCTTACTACACCCAATGGCTGATATGAGTTGTGTATAGCCAGCAACAAAGTCAGGAATTTGCATTAAGAAAAACCATCAAAAAGCCAACCAAATTAGGGGCTTTTTAGGTGCTAATTAGGTTCCACGTTTAAAAATTAGGTGCTCTGAAATTTTCACCGCAACGAACTTTTAAAATTTGCGTTGCTATCAAAACGTGTCGCTAGCTAATAAATTTATTAGATATAAGATAAATATCAATAGAGTGCATAAAGTTTAACTTCGCTCTATAACGTAGATATGCCGATAGATAAAAGTACTTCATTAATTTTGTAAATTTTTGTATACATCGCTATCCAGAATGCTTGAAGTGACAAGTGGGTCTCAAAAGTATAATCATTCGATATAATTTTATTAAACAAGTGGTTTTTGTGGTGGTGAATTATTTAAAAAGTTAAAGGTCTATCTAACTATGATCTGAAGTAAGTCAGTGATAATTCGCTAATTTGAAAATTGACCCAGCGCAGTATGAAAATATGAAAAAAAAATTATGACAAAATATATTGTTAGTATTGATAGCCATGAACCCGGTGAGCGAAGTTTAGAGCGAACTTTCACTAGATGAAGTGACAACCTGTTAAGACATGCAGGAAGTGGGTGGATGCAGGTGGCTCAGGGTCTAGTTTTGTGGCATTCCTAAGGGGGGGCCTGGAGAATAAGGTGGATGAAGAAAGGGTCTATAGCTTTAGCTTTGCCTAATTTTGCCGACAGTATATGGCCGTGTGTTGTCATAAAGAAGCAATGGCGAAGAGCAGCGCACTAATTTGGGCTGGTAGTGGCAGGTTGTTTGATTGGTCATAAGAAACTGTGACACCAGATGGCAAGCAGCTAAAGTAAATAACGCCAACAGTAGAACAATAAACTGTTACCATAAGCCTTTTCTGGATAAAATTACATTTAGTGTTCTGTTTGGCTGGGGCAACTGGACTTAATCATTGTGAAGAACACTTCGGATTGTCGTACAGGATTAGGATCCACTTCTCATTGCAGACAACAATATGATGCGAGCTTAGGCGTCTCTCGCTGTGCGTTACCTAAGTCGTGAGGTATCTATAATCCATAAGTCAAGCTTTTTTATTTTACCGATTTGCCGCAAGTAATCTAATATTGTTTTGACGCTTACATCACAAGCCGACGCTAGCTCCGCCGTAGTTTGAGACGGATGCACTTTTATTATTAAATTGACGTGACTAATTAACTTACAGTGCATCTGATGGTACGTAGCTACTGCAGCCCATGAACACCTGCAACTAACTTCAAACAAAAAAATCTAGAGAATAGAGAAGAGAGGAGAAGAAATATAAAAATAACCACGATTAAACAAAACAAATTCAAAATACTGAGCGGCTCATTCGTTGCGACCATCCATAACACTCAGGCCCCGACATTTTATTGAACTAACTTAGTTAAACCTGACCATAGGTCTGACTAAGTTAGTCCATTAGCCAAAGAGTGTAGTAGACATTTTTTTTAAATGGATGTAAATATAACTTAGAGTCATTAATATGTTCTTATCCAAAAATAAAAAATTATCAACAAATAAAATAAGTTGAAGTAATATGTACTTACGTACTGCCGAACTGGCACTGTTGGTAGTACATATTATAAGTAATAAAACTAAAAACTTGCTAGTTTGTTCAGCTTTTGATTTTCTAAGAACTTTCAGTTCCTCGTATTTAAGTGCCGACATAGTTTTATATTATGTGAAAAATAATAAATATTTAAATACACACTTTTAAGTTTTCAAATTGCGTTGAATTTGTGTTGGTATTTGAGCATTTTAATTTAAGCCCGACACCGACGTTTCCGTTACTTAACAGCTTCTGTGGTCTTAATTATTAAAGTTTAAATTACAGCCTATATACGTCCCACTGCTGGGCACAGGCCTCCCCTCATTTCTGAGAGTATTTTAGAGCAAGGAAATGTCCGCCGCGCTGCCTCAATGCATGTAGTTGCTTGTAAAGTATTTCTTTCATTTTCTCATGCATTATAAGATTGATACTTATCTTGCAATCGTAGAACTAGTCCAACGGATTGAACGTTATCGAACCCGTTCCAGTGATTCACCGATGCGTAAAGTTGAACATAGAGCGGCTTAATCAGTATTGCACGCGAGCGTTCAAACAGCTAGCAAAGGGTCTATAAATATTTTGGCCACAGACTACCTTTATATAGGTCCGGCCATGAAAAGTACGAAAAAGTACAGATCGCGGATGTGGTATACAGCTGGAGCCACTTCCCCCACTGCAAGAGCCGCTGTAGACAACTACGTGAGCTGTTTCCTCGAAAATTGATATCCCGCTTTTGGAATATCCCTTGGCCTCCACGATTGCCAGATTTGACACCTATGGACTTTTTCCTGTGTCCTCTTATTTATCTTAACAGCAAATCTTTCGCCAATACTCTATGCTCCGGCGAGTTATGCAAAATGTGATGAACAGATTCCATGAGTACGCAGCAACGAAATGGGTACTCCATTTCGTTCTAGAATATGTAATCGTATAAAAATTAAAACGTATTAATACTGATTGGGCGGTTTTCCATTTACCAGCTCGGCGAGGGCGCCGTGACTTCGTTTTTCTACTGCGCCGCTGCCGGTGCCGGTCAGTTTTTGGGCAGTACTAACTACTAACACCGACTTCAGTTCTACAGCACGTAAAAATGTTTTCGTCAAGTCGTCGTATTTGTTTGTTAGGTATATCTCTTACATTTAAGACGAAAATACTTACAATCAACGCACAGAAGTCAAATTTTGAATTAATCCAATCTTAAAAATAAAATACTGAGAAGGAACATATTAAACCCTATTTTAAAAGTCTGAAATGGACTCTAAAAATTATTTCAACTACTTCCGCATGAACGAGGAGACATTTATATATTTACAAATATATATTATATTCCATACATTTTATACATTTTTGCTTCCCCGGCAGCCGTGACGTTGCAAGCGCCGGCGCCGTGCCGGTAAATGAAAATCCTCGCATTAGTTTTCAATAAAAAAAAAACTCAATGTGTTGTTTTTTTTTAATCTAACTATCCTAACTCTGCCAATATTGGGATTGGGACATTGGGACCTCGAACACCTCAGTCTCATAAACATAAGAAACCATTATGAAAAGTACATAATTAATTATTATAAGAAACTGACATAAGAAAATTATGTGCATAGGTTAATGGGATTGCCGGTGCAACAATTATATAATAGATTATACTTGTTTATTAGCATCGTTTCCGGGACACCTGAGATTTTGAGTGAGATTAAGAGGTTCAGCTGCTAGGGCAGCTGTACACATCCTCATTTGAGCCATACGCAGGTGTAAGTAACGATCCAAGAGCAAATTATCCGACACTATTCCGATGATATTCTGAACGCGAGATTAGAATGGCTCTCCAGCAGCTTAAAAACGGGAAGTCCCCAGGCAAGGATGGAATTACAGCGGAGCTTCTGAAAGCGGGTGGGAAACCGGTACTTCAAGTCCTTCAGAAGCTCTTTAATTCCGTCCTCTATGATAGCATTACACCAGAGGCGTGGAGCAGAAGTGCGGTGGTCTTGTTCTTCAAGAAAGGCGACAACGCTCTCTTGAAGAACTACAGACAGATTTCCCTTCTGAGCCGCGTCTACGTGCTGTTTTCGAGAGTCATTACGAATCGTATCGCACGCAGACTCGACGCCATCCAGCCTCCCGAACAAGCCGGTTTTCGAAAAGGCTTTAGCACCATAGACCACATACATACACTTACTTGAGTTCAAATTTTTGCATCATATTTCCCAGTAAAATGTTCTATAGTATCAGCTAAGCTGGCCCCTGGTGAGAGAAATGGAAGACGTCAACTCATTTTTTTTTAATTTGTCTATAAATTGTCATCCTTGATGACTTTATATTTGTTAAACTCCTCCAAATTCAACTCTTATAAGATTAACAAAAATAAAGCAGTAAGTAAACATACAAATACATAGTTCATATATAATACATATTAAATACATAACAATATACTGCTGCATAATATAATTTTTACTCAAATTGCTTTAAAACAAAATAATTTATTTTAATCTTTACACGTAGTATTATTAAATTAGTAGTATAGTTGTAGCACAAATGGGTCGGCTCGACCGGGGAAGGACTGCACTCTCACAGAATACCAGCGTAAAATAGCAGCTTAACGCTGCTGTATTTTGTATGGTGAGTGTAGAGAACCGGAGACCCTTTTTACTGGAAAAGAGACATTCCATCTTAGTCCTCACGGGTGACAATGCATCAGCATTTTGATTCTTTATTGAGGATAGATGTAGATGTCTATGGGTCACAGCAACCACTTACCATCAGGTAGACTGTGTGTTTGTTTGCCACCCTATCCTGTAAAAAATCCTGGATTCTTTTTCACCAGGTTCTTACTGTCTTTTACACTTGTCAATTACATAGGATGTCACCTTTGCTAAATATTGCACATTTTCTTTTTGTATGTTTACTTTAATCATAATACACATGAGCATCATCCACTAACAAAGAGTATATATAGTAACTGCCCTATACAGGAAGCCATTAAGCATGTGGCAGACTAACCACAGACTAACTAGTAGATTCTACTGAATAGTCCTAGCTTGTTGATTGTAATTTTTAGCCCCTACCACTAGATTGGGTATAAGTGAGTGGTTCCATTTATTGAGCGGAATACAGTTACAGGTCTATAGCTTTATAGGTCATTGCCTCCAAGGCACAAATGGACGTAGTTATGCAAAAGGGATCCAACCCGCAATAAGTTAATTTGAGTTTATGATATTTGAAGTATCCATACTTCAAATATCATAAAAAATTATCGGTATGGTTCTGTCTGTTTGTAATTTTTCTTCTTATTTGTGTTACGTTTGCTAAAATTATTACATCACATAATAGTATAGACCACAAACATTATTTTTCAAGTCAACATTTTTTGACACAAACTCGGGTTGGATCCTTTTTGCATAACCACGTCCAAATGTGAATGAAAAATTCCCAAACATGTACTGTAACAACTAACAAGTTCTATAATTTTACTTTATTTGTTAAATACATGTCTGTTTTCTATATATATAATTCTGATAGTACCTTGTTCTGCACATGCAGCAGTCAAAATTCTGTTAGGGGGCTAAATATCATGGAGCAATATGGTCGCTTCCCGTGTTGGTTATCTACAATGTCAATGGTTTAAAGTTTTAAAGGTTTAAAGGATGGCACAAATATTTAGTTACATGCTTTGTACTCATATGCAAAATTTGAATTTTAACGGGGTGTTTGAAAAATAGCCGTTTACTAAAGACCTTGCTAGCTACACTTACGTTTTAAATTCAAAATTGCAAAAGTCCAACTTATGTGAAAAGAACTGATTCTTTTACAACTATAACAAGTCATTATCCATAAAAAATTTATGATTTCACCCGGACAATCCAAGTGAATTATTACAAATACACAATGAAAACATATTATGCATGTCATGTGGACAAAATAAATGCAAATATTAATAATTACGATAGCTTAAATTTACTGTTTATTATTATTACACATTTGGGTATTTACAATGTTACTTCTTGCACTTCTTGTTTTCATAATGTTTGATGATTCTGTAACACGTCCATTTGGCACAAGAGCAAACATATAAACAGGATAAATTCCACTTGGAAAATTTGTTTGTTTGCATTGTTTTATTCTATATAGATTCGCTAGTTTAAAAATTTTCATATATTCCTTAAGAGACCTTGTAACAGATGAATCTGTATCATCCTTTTCTGTAACGCCTGATGATGTGACATTTTCTTTAATAACAATCATACCGTTTTCAGACAGAGCATCCCTGTGAAACAAATTATTGCATGATTTATGAAATTGTAAAAAAATTATACATCCTACATTGATAATAAATTAAGTGCATATATTTCTATTACTCATTTTCTAGTTGTGTCTGCTGTGTCAGCAGCACCAAGGTTCTCAACATAGTAAACACTAGTTTTCACTTACCTACAACGTTGGAGGTATAGAACAAGATCCTCATCTGTTAAATACCCTAATACCCACTGATTCCAAACAATATCATATTTCTTTTCTGGCTCAAATTCTTGCAAAGAAACTTTGTATAAAGTTCCAATTTTACTTTTATCTTTACCGACAAAATCACCAATAGTGTTTATGAATTTCTCATCAGGTTCTATAACATCAACTTTTTTAAAATATGGTATTAGCAAATGTTTTGTTATTCGACCTATACCAGCACCACAGTCTAGTGCGAGATTTGTTCCTGGTGCATTATCTAATGCAAGTATTGATTTTAGAAATAATTGCGAACCTTCAATATCCGCATCTGATATAAACCCAAAACCACCAAGAACTCCATCAACAGTCGGTGGAATATCAGCCCAATACTTCAATGATAATTCATAGTCAATTTGAGAATTATCATTCATCTTTTAATTGACGTACCTAAGATTTAATACATAAAATAAAAACAAGTTGAAAAGTATATTTTAAATTCTATGTGATTTGATTTCATAGATTTATTATAAAAATGTAATATAGCAAGTTTGATTTTTGATTGTTGTCAAAGAGTATAGCACAGAGTACTTTTTATATTGGAGTATAGTACAAAGATCAAAGAGTATAGTAACTGTTGTTTTTTTTTTTTTTTTTGGAGTTTATGGCCTGGCATCTAGACCTTTAGGCCAGTTTTTGTTTTGTTGTATGTTGTATACATGAAGTTATAGATAAAGATGGAGACCACACTCCGAATACCTACTTGAAGCTTAACCTATGTATTACTATTAGCTTGCTACATATATATTTATCTATGATTACTATCTCGCTCTCTGTGGGCAGGCCCTCCCTTTCTAAGTAGGTAACCTTTATTTTATTTTTCCCAGGATATCGCTATAAGTAGTTGAGTTACATTAAGTGTTTTATTTATAAATATCTATATCTCTGTTTACTACTAAGACCTAGTCTATATAGATTATATATTTTTGTACAATTTTTTTGGGAATTGACTAGTTTTATGAAGAAAGGTTTTCATTTCCATGGGCAGAACCGGTATTAAAATATAACCACGCATTTCCGTCACAACCCATATAATGCCGAGCCTATTTAGAAAATGTGGAAAATAAATATATCAGACAATATTTTATAACTACCATTTCGATAATGTATTTTCTGGTTATTGTATACAATTCCTAAACGGTACCAACGAAATATAAAATTAAAATTTATTATAACCCCGGGTGATTTATTGTTCAGACAGACTAAATCTATTTCTGGACAATTATTTAAAAAAAATATCACGAGGACTAAAGCAGCGTAGTGGAGCTCCTGCCTTAGCCTTCTGACCTAACCCATCCGAGTCAGGCTGCTCTGAGCTGAAATGTGTATAATACTATATTCCACACATCCAGTTCATTTTAAGAATTATCTACAATTCCTAGGAATTCTATATAATAACGGATTTCATAGATTTCTAGTAACATGTACTATAATAGGAACGATAATATATTATTATTTTGAGTTGTTATCAGGAAAATGCCGCTGTCCATCTCCTGTTTCATTTTCCCTCTGACACCTTTTACAACACCCTCGGAACGATATGGGGTAGTGGATATTCTCACACCACCACTACATGGTTTGTTAAAAACCTTAAAAAAATAAATAAAAACACTTTCCATATTAAAATTATTTATTGAATTTTTCACACCATGTGGATTACTCTGTGGCTTTTTGAAGTCCTTACAGATATGAGCAAAGCGCCCTTGAATAATATTTTCAATTTCTGACTGACCCGTATACTTTTTAATAGTGTCCATTAAAGAAGACCTGTCCTGAATTTTTTAGTTTGGCGCGCCACTTTTTGCTTAAGAATCTTAGTTTTCGTCTCAAGTATTTCTTCTTTAGTACACTTTATTTTCACTTGCACGCCCCTATCAATCTTCGCGGGATCGTCGTATTCACTGCTGACCTAAGAAAACAAGAAAACTTTATGAAATCAGTATTTTTAGCATCGTACATCGTCGTAGGGGTACAGGGTCGTAGCGTGATGTTAGATAGACTTCCTGAAGAATTGGTTTTAAAAATGCAAAAAAATGTTTTCAAATCGGACTGGTATAGTTCCAGAGATTAGAGAACTCTAACAAAAAAAAGAAACAAATAACTCTTCTACATCATAATGTCAGTACAAATTTACATCACTTAATAGGTAACATATAATACACCGGAGCGCGCCTTCATGAGCACGCATAAATGAAGCATCAAACAAGAAGCTTTATGCTTAGTGTCGTAGTAGTTACCACACTGCGATTGGCACTAAAGAGTTTAAATATGTATGTGTTTTAAGCTATATAATACATTATGTAATGTAATATTAAAGTCATAATAAATACAAATAAATGTATGTATTTAGTAATAAAGGAAAAGGACACTTACAGGTAATTTGTTAAGATTGCATAAATTTTCAAGAATTTTTCGACATTGTTTTTACTAGTTTGGTCTTCAATATTACAGCCAGTACATTTCACTTCTGTTTCCTTAAGTGCAGAACTACTTTCATAAATGTCAGAACTAGTGCTTGGTACAGCCAAAGCAGCTATTTGCACAATAGACTCTTCATGTAATGCACTTATTGTCTGCAAATAATAACATATTTTACAAAATGTTGCTTTGTATCATACATCTAAACTACTACATTTCTAAATACATAATTATTATAAGCGTTATTAAAGTATCAGAATAATGAGAAACAAAAACTAAATAAAAATAAATTGTCTACCAAAAGAATATATTATGTTACTCATTTTTAATTTAATATTATGAAATCCGTCATTATATAGAATATATAGGAAGTGTACATAATTCCTAAATTTCATGCATTTCCGGTAACATTATAAGAAACATGTACATATAATTAGTTAAGGTCACACGGAAAGTCTCAGATACATCATCAATATGGTCACACTACTTCAGTGCGATTTGTTTTAAACAAAAACAATAAAATTGTTCAAACTTAATTAAATTCAATGTAAAACTATTTGATCTTGACAAAGTTATAATTTACTAATATGTTTAAAACACTGATACAACGTTTCAGCAAAAAATTAAGTGAAAATACAAAAAGTATGTTTACAAGTATTCAATGTCAGAAGTCACTATTTAAACACTTACGTGTGAAATCTTATATCACCTCCTGGACACCAACTACTGTCGCAACCACGTACTACACAAGTTTGCACCATTTCGTGAATTATAACAATAATTAACTTTAAATATCTCAAACGACGCTGTGAACTGCTAAGTAAACAACCGCCATATTTGTCTAATTTATGTTGACTTATAGGGCTAATGTTGCCATATTACTGAATCCTTAGGAAATGGGATTGTAGTACACTGATTCATGAACCCAATAATGCATACGAGACCTTTAGTTTTGGAATTTTTAATGTAACTAATCGTAGATCAACTATTTATTTGTTGGTACATTATTTTACAAAGCTTAACTTCTGATTTAGTTAGTGTGGAAATTATTTCTAAGAATTTACCGGGAGATTCAAATAAAAACATAGCAGTATTGTATTCCACACTAAAAAGAGAAGTCAGACCACAGAGAGTGAGATAAAGATACGTAGGTATTTGACTCAAGCTGTTGTTCCAAGTGTAGCCTCCATCTTTATCTATAACTTCATGGTTGTATAGTGCCACCAACTTATCTGTGAACTGACAGCTTGGCACAGATTTAACAGATATATGTCCAAGAACAAGAAGAAACAAAAATATCATAATTGAACAATTTAAACTTTAATTAAATGATATGCCTTTATGCCTTTTTTACCGGGTGTTATAATTTGCGTTCCTGTGGTTTATGCGGTTTCCGGTTCTTTAACTATTTTGGAAATGAATCCTTGACTAACATCTGAAAAATAAATGAATTGCATTAACCAATCCATTTATAGGAAATACGAAAGGAAGGAACAAAACATACCAATACTGACCTGTAGCAGCTGATACTCTTTTATAGACCTGATTGAAAGGCATTATCGGTGCTTACCCTCGAGCTTCTTGCTCACAAAAGTTTAATACTTATCGGAAAATGACAACAGGAGATCCCACTTCTGATGTCGGAGAATAACAAACAGAGGATTGCAATTTTGATCTTGGAAATATATCAGGATAGCATTAATTGTTAAAAATAGTAAAAATGTGAGAGCGGATGTTCGACTTGCTCTCTTGCTTACGCAGTTTAATCATTACCAGTAATAATACAACGTAACGCACTATACATTCAGTATAATGAAATTACAGTTCGACCACACCGTAACACGTCTCCGCCACAATCACACACCAGTGTAACGTGAGGTACGTAATTACATGATAACACCAAAATATGTAAACCAACAGCAACACTACTTATCTCAATGTAACACTGGGCAGCCTCTCAGCAACACCAATTCTCCTTGGCTGCACTAGAATAATTACAACCACCGAACAGAACCACGACACTATCTTAGCACTAGTAGAGTGACCACACTCGTTGAATGACTTAAGCGGAATCTCCCGCGCACGGCACCTACAGTGAACTTTATACTACAGACACAAGAGGGGGTTTCTCGATATACCCTCCATTCTACCTCGATCCAACCGGGTATTTTATAGACGCTCCGACACGGCCATCCTGACGTACGACCGTCCTCGGGCGTGTATTTTCATGCACTCCTGTAACAAACACTATTAGTCCACCAATTCGTCCGCTCGTCCGTCCTCACACGAGCAGGTACATATTCTTAGTTCGCAAAACTAATTGTTAGATGGCGTTGCTTGTTGTACTATGGCGCCATCAATTCACGACACGGCCATTCCTGACTAGCATCCATCCTCGGTTGCAGTGCCTGGAGACAAAATATGCTCAGAGATTAATCTAGCTCGGCTATCCTGCCAATAGAAACAAGGTCGATTCCAATTTGTACTTTACTTCTCCTAAGTCTACGTACAATAGTCAACTGTCATAATTGACAATGCCTTGTTATTAAGGCTTCTTACACAGTGCTTCCTGCACAATATGATTTATCGTGGAAGGACCGATCAACAAGTTCCAATACAGTAATTTTAACAATTTTATTACTCTTTAACATAATTCATAAGCAATGCATATTCAACTCGTGAAACTTTCATTGAAATCTGTGCAGCAACACAGGCCAGAATCGCACCAACGATTCTTTACATATCCGCCGTCACATATGCCAGAATCGCACCAAAGATTCTCCACATATCTGCCGTCATATATGCTAGAATACACAAGGGGCTCTGTGCACCAACACAGGCCAGAATCGCACCAACGATTCTTTACATATCTGCCGTCACATATGCCAGAATCGCACCAACGATTCTCCACATTCCCACCGCCAAATATGCTACAACACATCTGCCGCCACATATG